TGAAAATGTTCTCTTATGCTTCCCCCTGTCATTAGGAGCAATGTCCTTTGACATACCCTCCCATCCTCCAGGCTGCCACAACACCTCACTTGGGTAGAACTACTGTATCTTGTTGAAATGATCTGCTTGTGTTCTTCCCCTCACTGGCTTGAGTTTCTTTAGAGACATTAAATACCTGAATTCCAAGTGCTTAGCACAGTATAAAGAAAATTAAATACTCAATAAATGTTTATGAGAAACTTCCCTCAACTGAATGTGGGTAACCCCCCATATAGGCACTGAGGAATGAGAACTAAGCAGAACCCTGGCACAGTTAGGGCTTGAGGAATATCTCACTTTATAGTGTTACTACTCAGCTATTTCCTTTTATATAATCCTTTACATAATCATATATTAGTTTATCGAAATAGGGCTTGAAGTCTTTCTTTATATAATCCTCTATATATAATCATATAATAGTTGATAGTATGAGTGCCTAAATAACATTTCCCTACATATATACCCATAATTATATCTTAGTTCATAAATGGAGGAATGCCTAGAGTGGACACAGTACAGAGCATGAATTAAGGAATAAGCAGCTTATAATCGGAGGAATGCCTGGAGCAGATACAGTGCAGAGCATGAATTAAGGGAAAACAGTTATACCATGACAAGAATCCATGGCCCAGGCGGCAGCGTTCAGTATCGTAAAGATACCCGCTGTATGGCAGGCTTGGGGCGAGAGCCACTCCTCCTGATAAAGGAGTTCTAGGACCTTGCTCCAGTTCTTGTGGAAGCCTGCCCTCAGACCGGCAATCCACCTTCATGACTGTGAATTTTATCAGCTCTTGCTACCGTGCTGCTTGAAAAGCATCTTCCCATAGAATCCATTGGAAGCTGCCAGAAGGTGGCAGTAACCTTGACAGCTCTGTCACTGCTCTGTGACTTAAGGCATCCACCTATAAATCTTCTTAGAAGTTGTTTTCCCATAGATAGAAGTATCGCACACTGCACCCTCTTCACTGCGCACGGCCCACCTTCAAGCCTCGGCGATCTAATTGGGGTGGACCCCTTACTGCACACGGTCCCTTGCCTTCATGGGAACAGACCGCTTGCTGTGCGCTGTCCACCTTCTGGCCTAGGTGGCCTAATGGGGGTGGACCCCATGTTTTATTGCTCACAACCCTATCCCTATCCTTAAAGATGATTTCACTCACTGCCCTGCCCCCTAACCTATACACAATAAATACTCATGCTTCTGGACATTCGGGGCTCATTCACCAGCCTCGGCTTATAGGTGGCGTGGTCCCACGAGCCCAGCTGCATTTTCTTTGTACTTCTGTGTCCTGTCTCTTTATTTCTCGGATCCTGTGCCTCAGCACAGTGTAAGGCTCATCCCACGACCCGGTGGGGCACTCAGCCCTACATCGGGCTCCGAACGCACCCTACACTGAAGGTGCAGAAGAATAGTATAAGTATCACTGCTTCATATGCAAGCAAGGGACACTTACTGTGGCACCTGACCTAGGGCAGAGCTTTTCGATGTAAGAATGGACATCCCCACCCTTCTCCAAGCATGGTTATTCCCTCTAACCCACACTGACCTCAAGAGTATCCATTGCTATGGCAGCCCTGAGGTCGAGGTTCCTATGTCTGGGGTGGGGGACAGTCATATCCTCCCCCTCTTGGAGTTGAAGCTGCCTCTCACTATAAACCAGCTCTGATCTACCCTATGGCTCTCCCTGGCTAGAGGCAGGAGATTCCTGTGGAGTAAATTTTTCTCTCAGTCCCCACTGCTCAGCTCATGCTGCTCCTTGAGAATTTAAATGATCATAGGCATTGTCCATTTCCCCTCAGGCTTCTATCCCAGTTTGTTCTTATTCTCCCCTTCTTTGGTTTTCATTTACCAATGCCTTGTCCTTTGTGGATTATTCTCATCCCCTAAACCTGCTGACTTTCTTTCTTCCACCTGTTCCCTCAGCTCTGGGATTCCAGCGTGTAGACTCAGCTCAGGCTCCTGCAGGAGACACACAGAGTCAGGTCTCAGCTGAAGGTCTGAGGCAGCCCTGAAAACCATCTCAATTCCTCATGGACTCAGAGAAAACAGAGCAGGAAGGGACCTCAGAGAGGTACAATAAACCCCTACCTTACCGATGAGGAACCTGAAGCCCAGAAACACTGAGACTCTCCCAGGCTCCTGCCCTCACCACTTGGCGGCAGCAGATGCACCACAAGCCTTGGCCTCAGCCTCTCTGTGCAGAGCAGGTAACTCACCCTCCAGAAGCTCACTGCTGCCTTTCAGAAACTTTAAATGAAAAACAGCAATTTCTACTGTGAAAACAAATAGAGTAAAAGGCCCTTTCCTTGGACAAATGCTTTATCACAGTTCTATAGTACTGGCATTTATACTTGGTCAGCTGTCATTCACTGGCTGGTAGACTGGGGCAGGGAGCACATAGGATTAAATAGCGTTTCACACAACCCTGCTCTCCCGGCCTGGGCTTTCATCTTCTCCGTTCTTCTTCAGAAACTTTTTTCTGCTGTAACTTCTGGAGAGTCCAGGCCCTCATCTGGGTCATTTCTCCATGAAGATCCCTGTTATTTTCTTCCTCTCCTGGAGATAGAGAGGGCAGAGATTGGTTCTGGGACTCTATTGTCTTAGGTTTTCTCCTAAGCCAGCCAGGTCAGCTGAAAGCAATCATGACTGAGAGAGGTCAGGACAGTGAAGAGGAGCACAGGCTCACAAGGACAGGCCCTCGTGGACATGGTCAGTACCATAACAAGGGCAATATCTGACCAATTCTGCTGGGGATGATGCAAAAAAAATTAAGTGGAAGATGCTGCCATGAGGAGAAAAGGGAAGAACCAAAAGAGTGGGGGAAGAAGAAAAATAAAATGTTTTCAGTAACAATAGAAAAAAATGCAGAGCCTGGAGGCAAAGCCCCCTGTCACAGAGGGCTAGTTCCAGGCTGAAGAGCCTAATCAAGAAATTCCTGCTGGACTTTGCTCAGCCCCCATTTCAAAATGGTTTTGGAGCAGTGACTTTGTTCCCTCCACTTTCCCTATTTTTGAACAAGAATCACTAGCATCATTATTCTGTGACTGTCCCACCAGTGCACATTGAGGACAGATAAGCTGTTTGTTCAGTTTCACAGGTCAACAGAGGTAAGGGAATTATATCAAGGATCTGTACTTGGGCCAGGCACGGTGGCTCATGCCTGAAATCCTAGCACTTTCAGAGGCCTAAGGGGATGGACCCCCTGAGGTCAGGAGTTTCAGACTAGCCTGGCCAATAGGGCAATACCCCATCTCTACTAAAAATACAAAACAATTAGCTGAATCCAGTGGTCCATGTCTGTAATCTCAGCTGCTCAAGAGTCTGAGGCAGGAGAATCACGTGAACCCAGGAGGCAGAAGTTCCAGTAACCCAAGATCACACCACTGCACTCCAGCATGGATCACAGACCAAGACTCACTCTCAAAAACAAAAACAAAAAACAATCTGTACTTAATGGAAACCCTCAGAAGCCTCATTCACACTTGTTGTAGATGATTTAAATGAGATTTTAAACTTTTGATCAGATTAGAGCTACATGACATTTTTCACTTTGAACTAATTCATTCATGATACGAAACTTGAAAACCTTAGGTGAGAGGGTGAATGTATTTTGCATCTGTGAGGAACGTGAATGTCTGGGGACTAAAAGTTGAACTGTGATAAGTGGAATTTCTAAAATGGTCTCCAAACTTGCTGTACCCTTATCTCTGGAACTTGTTAAGCTAATGAGACATTTCTGTGATTATGTTGTTACATGGCAATCATATGACTTTAAAGAGTGATATGGTTTGGCTCTGTGTCCCCACCCAAATCTCATGTTGAATTATTATCATGAGTGTTACAGATAGGGCCTGAAGGGAGGTTATTGGATCATGGGGAAAGTTTCTAATGGCTTAGCACCATCCCCCAAGTGCCGTCACATGACAGAGTTTCCATGAGATCTAGCTGTTTAAAAGTATGTAGTACTTTCCCCCACTACTATCTCTCTTTCTTTCTCTCTGTCTCTCTCTCTCTCTCTCACCCCACCCCCCAGGTCCCTGCCAGCCATGTGAAGACCATGCCTGCTTCCACTTCCACCATGATTGTAAGTTTCCTGAGGCCTCCCCAGAAGAAGAAGCCTGCACAGCCCACAGAACCGTGATCCGATTAAACTTCTTTCTTTATAAATCACCCAGCTCATTCATTATAACACTGCAAGAACAGACTAATACAAAGGCTTAGTTCTCCTGAGTGCACCCAATAGAATCACATCACTCCCTAAGTGTCAGAGATTTCTCTAGTGGGTAGGATAACACATAGAGAGAGGATGGGAGCTGGAGAAGAATTCCATGGGCTGTTGTTGGTTGGAAGATGGGAAAAGCGAGAAAGATTGCAGGTGGCCTCTGAAGTCATGGGGTCTCCTGGCTGACAGCCAGGAGCACTGAAAAGGGAATCTCAGTCCTCCACCCACAAGATGAATTCTGCTAATACAACTGTATTGAACTTGGAAGAGTAGCCTGAGCTCTAGATGAAAAACACAGGCAGCCCGTAACTGGATTTCAGTCTCCTAAGACTGGGTTCTCCTCAGAGAACCCAATCATTCCTGATTTCCGTAGTTTCAAACCACTAACTTGTTTTAATGCACTAATAGGTAGTAACAGAAAACTAGTTACAGATGCCTATGTGTACTCTGTTTATATTTTCACATACATGTATGCTAATCCCTATAGGCACAAAAAAGAAAAAAAAGCAAGGGGCTACAGTAAAATGCTATATTTACCTTTATGGGAGCACTGTAAGGGCTGTTCCAGAGCCCTTGCAACTTGAAAAAGATAATGAAGGGCATTTCAGGCAGGTGAGAAGTGTCTCTTCAATGTTACCAATCCAATTTCTGAAAGAAAGAAAAAAGATGGTAAAATATTTAACTCCCAGCCAGGTGTGGTGGCTCATGCATGTAATCCCAGTACTTTGGGAGGCTAAGGTGCGTGGATCACCTGACGTTGGTAGTTCGAGACCAGCCTGACCAACATGGAGAAATTCTTTGTCTACTAAAAATACAAAATTGGCCGGGCATTTTGTATTTTTAATTGGCACAAAATACAAATTTGGTGGTGCATGCCTGTAATCCCAGCAACTCAAAAGTCTGAGGCACAAGAATCACTTGAACCCTAGAGGTAGAAGTTGCAGTGAGTTGAGACTGCACATAGCACTCCAGCATGGTGGCTCATGCCTGTAATCCTAACACTTTGGGAGGCTGAGAAGGGCAGATCACCTGAAGTTGGGAGTTCAAGACCAGCCTGACCTACATGGAGAAACCCCGTCTCTACTAAAAATACAAAATTAGGTTGGCATGGTGGTGCATGCCTGTAATCCCAGGTGCTCGGGAGGCTGAGGCAGGAGAATTGCTTGAACCCAGGAGGCAGAGGTTGCAGTGAGCCGAGATCTCACCATTGCACTACAGCCTGCACAACAAGAGCGAAACTCTGGCTCAAAAACAAACAAACGTAACTCCACATAACATTATCTGAAAATTCATCACCTACATTTCTAATAGAAGGATTTTTTTTTTTAGCTCTTTCACTTGTGATCACCAGACAAGGTGTGATAGTAACTATCCATTACCAGCATAGACAAACCAATTCAAGGAGAGCAATAAACAGGATACTACTAAGTTCCCCCAAAGAAAGTCCTTAGAATAAAATATCTCCTCTAGTTGACACAAGAGTAAGACAATGGTCCATTAGATAAAATCCCAATCTAATAAAAGATGAAATGTAATGTTGTCTATTTCCCAAATTTAAATTTTGTTCAGGCTCTGTCACGGTGACCAGGGATTGGAAAATGATTGCAAAGAGCCTCTGGGGAATCTGGGGAGAAAAGAAATGTAGTCTATATTCTAAGAGGGGACTGAGGTGATCACTACAAAATTCTACATATCTACTGAAATTATTCAGTTCTACATTTGCAATTAGTGACTTTTATTACAAGTAACTTGTTTAATGAAATTTCTGGTTTATAATCTAACTTGTAAGGAGCCAGGAGGTCAACACTTGTCCTCACAACAATAAAAAAGCTGAAGAAACTGAAAATTATCAAACCTTATTAGAGGGACTAGAGGAGAGCCCCCAGGGCAAATTGCCATGCTGAAAAGAAAGACAGGCAAACACAGGGAACAGAAGCTGCTGAAGCCAGCCACTGGGAGGAGCACTTAAATGGTACTGACAGATGACTAGAAGCTGAGGGTGGCCTGGCTTGAGCATTCAAAACTCCTTGGGGCCCAGATTTAGGGGGGATCTCACACTTTTCTAAGTTTTACCACCTGGAGCCCAACCAGGTTCTCATGGTAAAGATCAGAAAAATGCCCACAGGACTGACAGAACTGACACTGCCGACTTCAGCACTAATTATAAAGCTACAGTAACCAAAGAGTATGGAAATTTGTGAAGGAAGAAAAAAACAGACAAATAGGTCACCAGAAAAGAATACAGAGCTCGGAAATAGACTGATCTTTAAGAAAGGTGCAAAGGCAATTTAACAGGGAAAGGATAGTCTTTTCAACAAATGGTGCTAGAATGACTAGATACCCACATGTGAAAAATAAATAAATCTAGACACAGATTTTACACCTTTCACAAAATGGATCTTACACCTGAATGTAAGGTGCAAAACCGTAAGACTCCTAGAGGATGACATAGGGGAAAATCTGGGTGACTGTGGGTTTAGCGATGACTTCTCAGATACAATGTCAAAAGCACAATTGACATTGTGGAAGAAAAAAATTGATAAGTTGAACTTCATTAAAATTAAAAACTTCTGCTCTGTGAAAGACATTGTTAAGAAAATGAATAAACAAGTGATAGACTGGGGAAAAAATACTGGCAAAATACAGATCTGATGAAAGTCTGGTGTCCAAAATATATAAAGCACTCTTAAAACTCAATAATAAAAAAGCAAACCACCCAATTTAGAAATGGGCAAAAGATCTTGATACTTCACCAGAAAAGACATATGGATGGCAAACAAGCATATGATACAGATGCTCAATATCATGTGTCACTAGGAAATTGCATATTAAACCAATGAGATGTCACTACACTATAACATACACCTAATAGAATGGCTCAAATCCGAACAAGTGACAATACCAAAGGCTGTCAAAGATGCAGAGCAACGGGAACTCTCATTCACTGCTAGTGGAAATGCAAAATGCTGGTCACTTTGGAAAACAGTTTGGCAGTTTTGTTTTCTTTTTTTTTTTTTTTTGGCAAAACTAAACATAGCCTTGCCACATAATCCTGCAAACAGCAGTTTTAGGTATTTACCACAGTAATGTGAAAACATGTTCACTCAAAAACTTGCATCCAGGTATTTACAACAGTTTTGCTCATACTTGTCAAAAACTGGAAATAACCAAAATATCCTTTACTAAGTGAATGGCTAAATAAACTGTGGAATATCTGTACAACACAATATGATTCATGATAAAAAGAAATGAGCTATCAGGCCATGAAAAGACATGGAGGAACTTTAAATCCATAATGCTAGGAAGAAACTAGTCTAAAGACTCTACACACTGTATGATTCCAACACTAGGACATTCCAGGAAAGTCAAAATGGTAGAGATAGTGAAATGATCAGTGATTGCCAAGCATGGAGGAGGGATGAATTGGTTGAACAGAAGGAGGTTTTCAGCAGTGAAACTCTGTGAGATACTGTACTGAGGATTCATGACACTAGGTAATTGTCAAAACCCACAGAACTATAAAACTCAAAGAATGAACCCTAATGTAAACTATGGAGTTTAGTTAATACTAACATATCAATATTGATTGATCAATTGTACACATCTATCACACTAATGCAAGATACTAATGATAGAGGAAATTGTGTTCTGGGGGACAAGAGAGAATAGGGGAATTCCCTGTGCCGTCGGCTCAATTTATCTGTAAACCTAGAAGTATTCTAAAAAATAATATCTATTAAATTTTATTAAAATTATGACATGACAGCCCCAAATCAAAATGTTGGTGGCATCCTGTTACTGTGTGGTTAATACTGGGCATTGGGGTGGATCAATGTGGAGTCAGAACAGTTGGAGATATCAATACCTGTGCCTTCAACCTCTGGTTCTGTTGGTGTCCCTGGAATCCAGAGAGCAGGTCAGTTAGCTTGAGACAGCGTCAATGCTCCAGAGAGTGCAGGCTTCTGGTAAGGGCAAGGAGAAATCATCTCAGGGCAGTGATATGATTGATATAGATTTTATTTTGGATGTGGGTGAATCTTGAAGTCTAAAAAGTATTTAACTTAGAAGACAGATACTCTCTGCTCATGATGTTAAGAACAAATTTAGAATTGTTGTTAAACTTACATCTTTATTTCCCTAGCTGGCCAGGACCTCATCAGTAGCTACTGATATCACTAGTGTCCTCTGATCACCTTGGCAGTGTTAACTGTTTTGACCCAACAGGAAACTGAGGAGTTGCTTGTACCTAAGATGCAGACACCTGGCAGAAATCCAGGGTTACTGGCCCAGAGCAAGTCATCCAGCTGTTGATAACAACCAGAAGGGGGACCCGGCCATCCACTGAGGTCATCTCCATGCAGCATGAGCCACTTGCTCTAATGAAGCCACCATCACTACACTTCTCATAACTCGCTATTCACTGGACTAAGTTCTGTGAAAGCTGAGATCATATTCTACTCGTCTCTGTGTTCATGATTCCCAGCTTAGAGTCTGGCACTAAGGAAGGTCTCAGCAGTGTTCACTGAAGATAGGATAAAAGTGACTACAGATATCCAATTCAATCACCAACATTCCTCTCCAAAATGTAACCTACCAGGGATGCCATAATTTCTCCCAAGATGCAGCAAGCCCCCTTCCTACACCTGTAGACCCCTGCTCTACACCAATCATGCCCCAGGATCTTCTGTGGGACACTGGAGGAAAAACGGGACTACTCTGAAGAATTCCTCTTATGGTTCCCCTTGTCATTGGGAGCAATGTCTTCACTTACACTTCCATCCTCTGGGCTGCCATGACACCCCACTTTCAGAGATCTACTATATTTTCTTGAAATCATGTCTCTGTGTTTTCTCTCATAAGCTTGAGTTCCTTGGGGAAACAGTACTATTTGAACCCCAATTGCTTAACACAGTGTAGAGAAAATTAAACGCCCAGTAAATACTCATATCATATAGAGACCTTCCTCAACTGAAAGTGCAGAGGAATAGTGTAACTATCACTGCTTCATATACTGGCAAGAAACACTTATTCTGACACCTGACCTAGGACAGAACTGTTTCATTTAAGAACAGACATCTCTAACCCTTCTCCAAGCATGTTTCTTCTCTCTAACCCACACTGACCTGAAGAGCATCCACTACTACGGCAGCCCCGAGGTCGAGGTTCCTGGGTCTGGGGTGGGGCTCACGGTCACATTCTCCCCCTCTTGGAGTTGGTGCTGCCCCTCACTATAAACCAGCTCTGATCCCCGCTTTGGCTCTCCCTGGCCAGGGTCAGGAGACTCCTGTGGAGTAAGTTTCTCTCTCGGTCCCCACTGCACAGCTTGCGCTGCTCCTCAAGTGGTTGAATGATCATAGGCCAATTGCCCATTTCCCCTGAGGCTTCTGGCCCAGTTTGTCCTTATTCTCCCCTTCTTTGGTTTTCACCTGTTCTAGCATTGACTTGTCCTTTGCAGGTTATTCTCTTTTCCAAAACCTGCTGACTTTCTTTCTTCCATCTGATCCCTAGGTTCTTGGCTTCCAGGGTGTGGACTCAGCTCAGGCTCTGCAGGAGAAACACAGGGGCGAGAGTCAGGAGTCAGATCCAGAGAGGTCAAAGGCAGGTTACAGGTCCATGCAGTGTTAAAGACCATCTCAGTCCCTCAAGGACTCAGAGAAAACTGAGCAGGAAGGGACCTCAGAGAGGTACAATAAGCCCCTACTTTATTGATGAGAAAGCTCAAGTCCAGAAAGACTAAGACTCTGCCAGGCTCCCTCACCACCTAGTGGCAGGAGATAGACCACACAAGCCT